GTATGGGTCTGCTTGGAGGTTCATGAGACTTAGTAACTACAGTTATAAGAACCTTAACTGGGTTTATAACTTGTTTTTCGTATAGTCACCTTCATTGTAGCCGTAGTTACTAAATCCCATGAACCTCTGAACCTCTAGTGAGGTTCTGAGAGTTGAGCTTTCTGGAGCTTGGGCTTTCAGGGCCGAGGGTTGGGGGTTTGTCCGTGCTTCCTGGTGTCACTTGTAGTATCCTTAAGGGAGGGAGTTCCAAGGGGGGTATATAGCCTAGTGATCCCTAATTCTCCCTAGTACTCCCTAAGGTTCCCTTACAGTTCCCTAAGGATTCCTTATACCCTCCCCCTCCCTAAACTGAAGGCCGACCCCCCACCGCAGCGAATGGGGTCGGCCGCAGCAGGCGGACCGGAAGGCGCCTGCCGGACCGTAGGCGATGGCTGAAAAGCGAGCCGTAGGTCCTGGACCTCAGGTCCACGCGGCTCCAGTGAATAGGCCGCTACTGTCAGCCTATAAAGTAATAACCCTAAACCTTGGTGCAAACGGCCGGGCACGCTTGAAATCCTCCAACCTTAAATTAAGGACCTGTCGGCCACAATTAAGGATTGAGACTTCAAATTAAGGACGAGGCTTTAAAACTAAGGATTGGAGCCGAAAATGAAGGACTGGGGCTGCAAAATTCAGGCTTGGAACCTAAAATTGCGGACCGGTGCTCCAAAATTTTGGATTGGGACCTCAAATTAAGGACCGGCCCCGAGACCCGGAAGTACTATCTGTTACGGCCAAGAGCCCGCAGCTTAAAATTATCCGGACCTAATTAAAATTAAGGACCCAGAGCCTAGCGCAGGCCCCCACAAAGCCTGCAGAAGGTCCTCCCCCGTAATTAAACCCTGCAGAGGCACCAGAGGCCACAAGCCCACCGAAGCCACCCAGAAGGCCCTTTGGGTCACTTTGGGGCCTGGAGATTGTCACTTTGGGGCCTGGAGATTGTCACTTGGGGGCCTGGAGATTGTCACTTTGCGCCTGGAGATTGTCACTTTGGCGTTGTGGAAAAGTTGGCCTGGTCTGGTTGCAAGTTTTTGCAGGTTTTGCGAGGTTCTTAAAGGCTCAGAGTGGTTTTTTAAAGTTTTGAATGGTTTTTGTAGCTGTTTCAATAGGTTTTAAGCAGTTTCGAAGGTGGGCAAAAAGGTGTCCAGAAGGTTTCCAGAAGGCCGCGCAGGCCCCCACAAAGCCTGCAGAAGGTCCTCCCCCGTAAACCCAGCAAAATCCCCAGAGGCCACAAGCCCACCGAAGCCACCCAGAAGGCCCTTTGGGTCACTTTGGGGCCTGGAGATTGTCACTTTGGGGCCTGGAGATTGTCACTTTGCGCCTGGAGATTGTCACTTTGGCGTTGTGGAAAAGTTGTTTGTTGTTGTTGCTTCCAAACCATATAAGCCCCCCTTGCTAGGGGGGGTTGGGGGGGTAGACAACCCTAAACCCGTTCAAGGTTTGAAATTAGGGTGGGAGGGCGGGCATTGCAGCTCATGCGCCGACCCCAACCACTTCATGGAGGGGTCGACAGCGCACTCGCAGCGAAAACCCTAAACCCTAAACCCGATACCCTCCCCCCTTGAACCACCCTCCCTTAAGGATCCTATAAGTCACGCTTCAGGAGGTTAGGTCAACCAACCCGCAACTCCCGGGTCTGGGCTGCTGCCACTTGTCTAGGAGGGGCTTTTAAAGCCTTTGAAAAATATTAGTAGGTAAGATCCTCTTAAGCCGAATAAGAGAAAACATAAAATGTCCCAAAGCCCTACCTAGCTGTAGTAAATGAGGTTGTGACCGCCTTCACTTGGGGTTAAAAGTCATGATAATAAGTATAGTTACCATACTTATAATCCTAGTTACTAGGTCCTAAGCCTAAAAGTCATGATAATAAGTACAGTTACCATACTTATAATCCTAGTTACTAGGTCCTAAGCTTAAAGAAATTGTGAAGTTGAAGCGGCGCGGGACCTTGAATACCCAAGAGTCCCCTGTCCTACAATGAACGCATTAAGACGGTTGAGCCTCTCAGGGTTTAGTTGAGGGTTACAGTAGAAGCCAGAAAGTTGGAATATCATTATCGTAACCCCTTAAGATAAATGATAGGGGATCCTGCCATTAATCCATATCCCAACTTTCTGGAGTTCCCTTTAAGGCCAGAAGTCTCCCTCGTCTTGGTGTACAAACATCGGCCTGTATACGTCATTGACTTAGAAGCCCTTCCAAAAGTAAGGCACCAAAACCCTAAACCCGAAACCCTAAACACGAAACCCTACACCCGAACCCGAAACCCTAAACCAACCGTCCGAGGATCCGACGTAAATCTCAAAATGAAAGGAAATATTATACGGGCCTAAACATTTACCAGCTAAAAGTATAGCATAATATACCCCAACACCCTGTCTTATTAAGGCCCCTATATTAACTCCACCACCAGTGCCAAGGTGGCTTTCTTATTGGGTTTAGGGCTTTAGGCGTTTAGGGTTCGGGGTTCAGGGTTTGGGATTTAGCGTTCCGGCTTTAGGGCTGAGGGTCTTAGGGGTTTAGGGTTTAGGATGCAGGTTTTAGGGTCTAGCATGTAGGGTTTAGGGTTTAGGGTTTGGGCACCAACTTTTTCCGCAACCGCAGCGAACTGGAAGTCCAAAGCGATGACGGCCATAAAGACTAAAACGGAAGTTGGCTTCCTTGGAAACGCTGGGGTTTGATAGTTTCGGGTCTTACACGGCTTAGCGCTTGAGGTTTAGCGTTCAAAAGACCTGGAATAGTGGGTAATATAGGGGCCTCAATAGTTGCCAATACTATGTTGGGGTATCCTTATTATCATTATGGTATAATACACCTTCAACCCCCTTTAAGGGAAGCCTATGAAACCCTATTCTGATGATTAAGGCCCCTATGCCCTAGGGCATCTTGATGGAGACCTCAAGTCACAACCCCCAGGTGACGCATGCAAACTGTGACGGAGATCGGGAGCAGGAGCACTTGACCAAGGTCGGACCGCAGCTGATCTCGGGCTTGTGGTTGGAGGCTTTGGGTGTAATGTAGGAACGTGATTAAGAAACTCTGGCCCTGTAACAACCACATAGTAAGATTCATATAAGGAACCCTAATCAAAACCCAGGGTTTCTTAACCAGGTTCCTACATTAGAGTTTACAGGGTTCTTCAAGCAAGAAAATTTCGGGGAACTCACGTCTAAATATCCAGACCTCCAAGGTCCTATGCTCATCCTCTCCCAACTGGTTCAAACGAGCTTAGCGTTGCCAACACAAGACATTTGCCAAGACAGGACGCGGCGCCCAGAAAGCGCAAGTAGAATGTGTATTGAGACTTCTTCTGCGCCTGTACTGTAGGGGCCTCGGTAATTAGAATAGGGTTGCGGGGCCCTTTCTACTACAATCAGAATAAGGAACGCCAAAGTAGTACAGATAATTATTAAGGCCCTTATATCGATAAGTCCGTTATAGAACCGTGCCTGTTAAGGAACCCTTTAAAAGAAGCCCCATTCTACTTACTTAGGCCCCTACATTACACGCTTCCATGGTCCCCTGCACCGTGAAGCAAAGGCGGCAGTGACCAGATCTGGTTCGATCCAAAAGTTCATCTCACAGGCCCAAAGCCCAAGGGAATAAAAGTTGAAACTTTCAGCATCGACTACCTTATAAGAACCCCAAAAGTTGAAAAGTCGAGTTTATAGCCAGTAAGTTATAGTATCGAGGGCGTTGTGCATCCCCGAAAGCTCTTCTGTGCATTACTGTACTAGGTGTCGATTTCGACAGTCCCCAAACTTGATTGTAGCCAGGGCTCGCTATTAATATGAAGCAAGGCCAGGGAAGCATAGAAGCAATCAGGGAAATGAAGAATTATCCCAAATCGACACCTAGAGTATCGCTTGTGCAATCAGACTGTGCCTTGCCAAGGCGAGACATGGCACTCGGTAGAGTGTGCATTGAAATGTATTATGTGGCTTTAAATTGCAAGACTTCATAGTCCATGAAAGAAAACAGGCATTGATTGGGTACGGCCCCCATACAGTAACAGTCTATAATAGGGCTACTATTAAGGGCCTTATATATCTATATTATGAATATTATCCAACTGTTACTGAGTGGGGGCCGTACCCAAGGCGTTGACCAGATCAGGTTAGATCAGCTTCGGCTGGGTGTGGCTGCGAGCACCCCGATCGATGTTTCGACGAGGTACAACTTAATAATCAAGCCATCATGGCGTTCCAGCTCCTCGTCACCCTCACAGGGCTTCCGCGATGCAGTCGGGCAAGCAGAGAAGATCCTCCCCTCCGTGTGACCGTTGCAGCAGTTCACTGAAGTCCCATTCACGCCGCCTCGCTACGATCTTCTCGAAGGTGCGGGGACTTTGGGCAACCTTGACGAGGAACGCATTCAGCTGCCCCACATACTGATCGTGCGTCGCTTGATCTGGAGGCAAAGCCTTCGGTGGATTCGGAAAGGTCGGTGGCACATGGCACACTGTGGCACAACGCTCGATCCCAGAACTGTGCGCGCAGCCCATGGCTTCGACCCAAGCTACTGTCCTACAGCAGCCGAAAAACAATCCGAGCTCCTTGAGCAGAAGCTGGAGAGGAGAAGTCGGCTTAAACGGTGCTGGAGGCGCGCAGTGGTTCACGTTTTTTCAGCATCCTGCAGCATGCATTGTGGGATCCTGTATGCTACGAATGGGTGGTTGCCACAATTAAGGTCCCTTTTTTGGGTCCTTAGTAAAATACGGCACCTACTATTTAGGGTACCCAAAGAGGGACCATAATTTTGACAACTACCCACATGGCTCTTCAAGGCATGAGCTGCTCAACATGTGCTTCAAGTCAACATCTGCGAGTTTCCGACAATTGGGAGCTATTTGGGGATCCTTAGAAGGAAGGGTCCCACTATTTAGGGTACTACATTAGGGTCCCCCATTTTGGAAACTCCCACATGTTGCTGCTTAGAACATGAAAGCCACAACCCATGAATCAACGCCAAGCCACGGCAGCAGGCGCAGCGGGTGCTGCCGCCGGTGCTTCCGGCTGCGCTGGCGGGGCCACCGGGGCCGCCGGGGACGCGGAGGCGGTCTCCGGCACAGCAGCCGGTGGGGGCGGTGCTGCCTCCTCCTGGCGGCTTTAAGGGTTTGGTTAAGCTTAGTTGGGTCTACTTGTTCAGCTTGGCTGCTTGTTAGCTAAGCTAGCTGGCTGAATTCCTTTGTCCGTTCGTTCGCTTGTTGGTTAGGTAGCAAGCTCGCTAGCTTGCTGGCTAGTAGGCGAGTGGGTGAGTGAGCGAGTGAGTAGTGAGTGAGTCAGTGAGTCAGTGAGTCAGTGAGTCAGTGAGTCAGTGAGTCAGTGAGTCAGTGAGTCAGTGAGTCAGTGAGTGAGTGAGTGAGTGAGTGAGTGATCGAGTGAGTGAGTGAGTGAGTGAGTGAGTGAGTGAGTGAGTGGGTCAGTGAGTGAGTCAGTCAGTCAGTCAGTCAGTCAACCAATGGAAGCTCAGTGGTTGACCAAGTTACGAATAGTAATGGACAGAAACATGTAACGTCTGTGAAATAGTCGTAAGAACTTGCTGTAAGAAGAAGAAGAATGGAACGATGAATACAGGTAACTCAGATAAGGTCGATAGGGAACAGAAACAGCAGTGCTAGAATGCACAAACAAATGTTCAGTCAGGACAGCTTGCATGTAAGTTTCATAATGATAAGTGCAACAGCGGCAGCAACAACAACAACAGCAAGGCCTGCACAACAGCTAAGTACATCGTAGTGTAAGTAATGTAACACAAGTATTTCAGCACACAACTAAGCGCGTACACGCGCACACACACACAGAGACACACATGCGATGCCAACGATATGGGAGTTTCCGAAAATTACGGGACCCTAATATAACACCCTGAATAGTAGGATCCTTATTGTAAGGACCCCAGAACAAGCTACCCCTAATTTTCGGAAACTCCCATATAGGGACTACTTTAAGGCCAAAGTCTATACTACTTGGGTCCATGGACCCTTCTACCCAAAAGACTTAAATCGCCTTCGGCTTCGCCGTCATGATGACAACGAAGTCGCCGTCAGCCACCCCGCGCTCCTTTCAAGCTTACCACTTTCATGGGACTTAGTAAAGACCTCCTTAAAAAGGCTCCCTAAAGGGATCTATAGGGATCCTTAAAGGGATCTATAGGGTTTAGGGTGTCGGGTTCTACTTGGAGGTTCATGGGACTTAGTAACTAGGGTTATAATAAAGGTAACTACACCTAGAGGTTCTTATCACCCCAATTAAGTTACTTATAACTGTACTTACCAAGTCCCATGAACCTCTACGTAGAACCCTAAACCCTAAACCCTATAGATCCCTTTAAGGAACCCTATAGATCCCTTTAAGGAGCCTTTTAAGGAGCTCTTTACTAAGTCCCATGAACCTCCAAGGGGGCTAGGGCCCAAAGGCTCGGGGCGCAGGTTGCAGGCTCCTTGTTTGAGACCTACTTGGAGGGGCAGGGGACTTAGTAAGTCGTTTATAAGTAGGGTTATAATTGGGGCAACTCCATTTAGGGTACTTATAACTCTGCTTAGAACCTACTTAGTAAGTCTCCTGCCCCTCCAAGTAGAAGGCAGGGAAAAGGAAGAAAAGCAAAGGAAAGACATGGATGGGGATGGGGATGTCTGTTTCGGGTCTAGGGTTTAGGGTTTAAGGGTTTGGGGTTTAGGCTCATGCACGGAAAAGGGAATGAAAGTCAAGGATACCTTTGTGCTGCGTGCCTGTTGCACCACAACGACACTCTCAGGTGAGCCGTCGCTTTGGCTGCAGGAGTCAGCGGCTTGTGAGAGCCAACGGGAAGGAGCCGATTTCCTCCGTCAGAGTAGAGCGGCCTTGCAAAGCCTCCTTCCAGGATTTCTCGGCTATCTCAGGTGCCTTGCGATCAATCCATTCATGGACGATGGTACCCTCTGCGGCCGCAGGATCTCGCCCTGGCCTTGGTTTTCCTGTAGCAAACGATACATAAAGGACTAGAGAAATTTCGGGTCATTACTGGTCGGGGGACTTGGCAAGTAGTTATTTTATAGACTTATAAGTATCGAAACCCCAAAAGGGAACCCATTTAGGGCACTTATAACTCTACTTACTACCTACTTACTAAGTCCCCTGACCCTCCAAGTAACGGGTAGGGTTCCTTGCAGGCTTCTTAGTTGCTGAGTTCATAAGCCCCAAAAAGTGCACCCTTCTAGTTTTATAGTAGGTAATATTTATCCCAAAAAATGTAAAGTGTATCCACTCAGCGACCCAGGCTTTTTACAACGGCTTATGCATGTTGTCGTAATGCCTTGCATATAATTTATAAGGGTGTGGTACAGGCCTATGAGCCCCTCGACCTTTTACCAAAAAATCTTGTAGAAACCATGGTATAGAAGCCTTCAATGCCACCCCTAAACCCTAACCCTAAACCCTAAACACCTAAAAAATCCGACCCCTAACTCACGGTAAAACCAAAAAAAACTCATGGAACTCCTCGGCGTTGGACCACGAGGTTAGGGTTTCGGGATATCTTGGGGATAGGGTCTAGGGTTTCTAGGCTCGTTTATTTAAGGCAAATTTAAGGGATCTTTCAAGGTTCCGGATCAAGGTTCCTGTACAGGATCCATAGAGTTTGGAGTTTGGGGCTTCGATGTTAGGCCTTGGGTTTGGGTGTAGGGCTTGAGGTTTTAGGGTCTACGGTTGAGGGCTTAGGGCTGCAGACCCAAATCTAGCACAGCGGCGTTGGAAACCTGTAGAACACCCGGAGCAGTCCAGAAGGTCAGGGTTTAGGGTTTAGGGAACCTTCCGCCATGTACCCCAGAACTTCTACCCCAGAACCCCTAAAACCTCACCAACCCCTGAAACAAAGACAACTCCGCGAAAACCCCCTTGACTCCAAGCCCACTGCGCTTGCAAATTCAGACCCTCACTTGCAAACATCCGAAAGCCGACATTTCGGCTAGGTTCAAGGCCTACTACCCCAATAAGCCACAGAAATACAAGGTTAAACTTTCCGATTCCTACTAAACTATAAGAACCCAAAAAGTTTAAAGGTTAGGTACTTATAACCTGCCCAGAGGCTCCAACACATACTACCATTGTGGAATTAAGTGCCCAAAACCATAACAGGGATGGTCTTTTGGACACTAAGTCCATAAAATGGCACAATACAGTATATGTGGACCCTGCGGGCTGACTTGAGAAGGCCCATCCCAAAAGTAGGTCCAGAGTCCTAAACCCGCCTATTGTAGAACCCAAGAATACTATGGGGCCTTAATAATTAGACTATAGGGTTTTGGGGGCCATCATATTATATACCATAATTGTGACAAGGAACCCCCAAAATAGTATTGGTTGTTATTTAAGCCCCCTGAAAAGGAAACCAGTAAACCCGCAAACCCCAACACCCCAAACCACTTTCCACATCAACCGGGTACTCCTCCAAGGTCTGTTCGTCCTGCAAAACCTTCGCTGCCACATGGTCTAGGGTCCAAGGTCTATCTGCTCTTAAGCCCAAAACCCATAAAACCCTCAAACCCTAAACTCCTAAACCCCCATAGAAGCTTAAGGGCGCCCTGCAAGGACTGACATAGAACCCCATACGTGTGGAAGTCACCTTGCCAGGGCCTGACAAACACAAGCTCACCCTAGATCCTAAACGAAGGGTTTAAAGCCCTAAACCCTAAACCCTGAACAGCAAACCCTAACCACTCTGAAATCAACTCCTCCTTGGTGATTTAAGACTTAGGGTTGGGGGTTTAGGCGTTTTGTAAACCCACGCCCCCTTAAAGCTCCCTTCAAGCCCTGCTTTGAAGCTACCCTAAAGCCCCCTTGAAGACCCCTTTAAGACCCCTTGAAGCCCACCTTGCCCTTGTGCAAGATCTTCTGCTGCTCCGGTGGCATCTCCTCGGTTGGCTCCGGCTCTCAAAACGGTTTAGGGTTTAGGGGGATTTAGGGGGGATGAGGGTTTGAGGTTTAGGGTTAGCGGTGTTTAGGGAGGGGTTTTCGGGTGTAGGGTTTAGGGTTTAGGGGGGTGTAGCGGGGTTTAGATGGGTTTCGGGTTCAGGGTTTAGGATTTAGGGGGGTTTAGGGGGGAAGGGGACTGCTACGAGGGTTCATATAGGGGTTGTACTGGCTTTGCTGGTTTCTGTACTGGACATTTACCACCTTAACCTACCAAACCCTACATTTTTTGTAGGTTCTTATTATAAGCCTTAATATGAAATTTATCGGGACCCTACAAAAAGGTAGGTTCTGGCGGGTTAAGGTAGTCATTATATGCTGGTGTCCAGGCTGGGCTCAGGAAATCGACCTGGAGTTCGGGGTTTGGGCTTTCGGCACCTGTGGCGACGATGTATTTAGCGAGCGTGCAAACTTCTAGAATTGAGTTGAGGGCTTAGGGTTTAGGGTTTAGGTTTGAAGGTTCATGGCTGGGTGACAACAGGGTTTAGGGTTTAGGGTTTCGGGCGCAGCTGTTTTGCTTCATGATCCGAGCGCCGCGCAGGCTTCCGTGCGAACACCATGGCTTTCAGCACCTGCACCGGCGCAGCAAACAATTCGGTTAAAAAAACCTGCCAGAACCCCAGCAGGATTCTCTGGTAATCAAGGAGAACACAAAATCACAAAGGCTGCGACCGTGGGACCTAGACCCCACCAAATACAGAAACCTGTGTAGCAATTCCTCTAGAGCCCTGTTTGAAGCACGATAACACCCTTATATGGGAGTTTCCGAAAATAGGGGACCCTAATATAGGACCCTAAATAGTAGGATCTTTATTATATGGACCCCAAAAGAAGGTACCCCTAATTTTCGGAAACTCCCAGATCCTGTCACTTCAGGAGCTTGGGATTGTCGACTCTCTGAGGCCCAAAAAAGGAGCACGAAACCCTTCGTGGGGTTTGGGATCTACCCAGAGACTCCAATATCTCTTAATTAAGGAATATTCCTTAAATCATATCAGGGATCCTACTATAATTTCAGGAATAATCTTAATTAAGGGATATTGGAGTCTCTGGGCAGGGTCCCTTGAGACTGTAACTTTAGTAGAATGTTCATAGAACCCTTGAGCCTAGAAGGACGAGCCTCAAGGCCATAGACCCTGTATACCCTACCCCTAAACCCTAACACCCTAAACCCTGTACCTAAAACCCAAAACCCTATCCCTAAACCCGAACACCCTGAACCCTATACCTAAACCCCTATACCCAATCCGTAAAACCCTGTACCCAATCCCTAAAACCCTATACTAAACCCCTAAACCCCAAACCCTATGCCTAAAATCCTATAAACCCCAAACCCTATATACCCTTTCCCTAGACCCCTGGACCCCTAAGCCCTTAACCCCAAAGCCCCAAACCCTATAGCTCCCTTTAAAGGAACCTTTAAAAATCCCCCTATTCAGGACCCTAAGCCCCAAGCCCTAAACCGAACCCTTGAGGGAACCCTTAAAGGGGACCCTATTCTCGAATCCCAACAGTAACCTTTTAAAGGGTCCCCTAAACCCCAAGCCCAAGCCCTAAAACCGTGGGAGCCGGACCAGAATCCCCTAAACCCTAAGCCCTAAACCCTAAACCCTAAGCCCTAAACCCTAAACCCTGAGCCCTAAACCCTAATAAACCCTATAGATCCCTTCTGGGATCCCTTAAAGGAGCTCGTCAGGATCCTTTTAAAAGGAACTCCAAAAGGGGCCCCCAAAAAAGCACCTAAGGCAAAACTTGGGACAGGAATATCCCATATAAACCGCCTCTAGAATGAAGCCTAATAAGGTAGGGATATCCCTATAAAATGCTCATGCTTGGGTGCGTCTTGGGTCCCTAATCTAAAGCCGTGGGAGCTGGGGCCGGGCTTTAGGGCGCCTCGACTGTGGTGCCGGGCTCCACGTCTAAGTCAAAGGCCTCGCCTTTCCTCGGGCTTTGGGGTTTAAGGTTTAGGGTTTAGGGCTTAGGGTTTCGGGTGTAGGGTTTAGGGTTTATTGGGGTTTAGGGCCTGGGTTTAGGGTGTAGGGTTTAGGGTTTAGGGCTTAGGGTTTGGGGTTTAGTGTTTAGGGGTCCCTTTTAAGGGATCTCTGGGTTCCTTTCAAGGGATCTATAGGGTCCCCTTTAAGAGATCTCTAATATTCCCTTTAAAGGGATCTATGAGGGATCTCTGAGGGTTCCTTTAAAGGGATCTATAAGGGATCTATAGGGTTCCCTTGAAGGCTATAGGCTATAGGGTCTTTAGCGATTTAGAAGCCTTTCCTTAGGCTGTGGGATTTGGTCCATAAGGGCTCCGTTTAAAAGGATCAATAAGGGTTCCTAAAACGGATTCTATAGGGTTTAGGGCTTTAGAGCGCGGACGGAGTTTGGGGCTTTAGGATTTGACGGTTTAGAATTTGGGCTTCGGGTCTTTTGGTTTTTCCAAGGTTTTAGGATTTGAGGTTTTAGAATTTGGGGTTTAGGGAATAGGTTTAGGGTTTCGGGATTTGGGTGTCAGGGGCTGTGGGTTTTTTTTTAAGTGTAGTGGTTCAAATTTGGGTGCAGAGTGTAGGGTTTAGGGGGTTGGGTTTAGGGCTTAGGGTTCAAGGGTTTTGGGATCTGAGGGTTTGGAGTTTTGGGTCTGGGGCTTAGGGTTTGGTTCAATGTTTGGGATTGGAGGGTAAAAGGCTCTGGGTTTTGAGGGTTTAGGGATTTCAGAGCTTAGGGAAGAAGGGAAAAGGACCCGGGCTGTTGGAAGTTTAAATCCTAACCAAGTGACTCCAATATCCCTTAACAAAGGAATATTCCTTAAATCATCCTAGGGATACTTGTCTAATTTAAGGAATTTTCTTAGTTAAGGGATATTGGGGTCTCCAAGAATTCAAGATGGTGCTGGGTTTTGGCCTTGCTTTGCCCCCCAAAACTGCGATTCCGGTCCGTGGCTGCAAGGAATGCGTTGCTCGAGCAGTTTGCTTCTGTTTCAGCTTGGCTTCTATAGGGTTTAAAAAGGGTCTATGCGGTTTGAAACGCGAGTTTATCAGGGTTTGTAAGCCCTAATTTTGGCTTCTGTCTAAGGGTTCAGGGTTTAGGGTTTAGGAATTACAGCTGGGGTCTTCTATCAGGTCTTATTGGGCTTCATAAGAAGGCCTTATCAAAGCTAAGGATCATTCACCCTAATTTTAAACCCTAAACCCTGAAAACCCCATACAGCCTTAAACCTTGAACCCCGGAAAAACCCTAAACTCTAAACCCTAAACTAAACCCTAAACAAAACCCTCACCTTGTACCCTACTTGACCGGCTGGAGGGAGACACTAAGGAGCAGGCAGGGGTTTGACCTGCAACTTCATGGCTCCTCCCTCCCACCTGGGCTTCAGAAGTTCCGCGGTTAGGGTTTAGGGTTTACCTTAACCCTGAAGGGCCTACAGGATTCCCTTTATAAAGGCTGTGATAGGGGTTCCTTGCAGGGCTGCTGTTTAAGGATTCTATAAGACTTTCTGAAGGGGTGCACGATAATAAGAATAATGTACTTAATACTCTCTTGGGCTTTATATGAACAAAAATGAACAGAAAACCTGAGGAGACTACTTGGAGGTTCATGGGACTTAGTAGGTACAGGATAAGTACCCTCATGGGGATTATAAGTACAAAAAAGTATAGTTACCTTAAAAATAACCCTAGTTACTAAGTCCCATGAACCTCTAAGTATGGCTCTCTCTCTCTCTCTCTCTCTCTCTCTCTCTCCCTAAACCCTAAACCCTAAACCCTAAACCCTAAACCGTGGCTCTCTCTCTCTCTCTCTCCTGATTCGGACCCTGGATTTAACTGCTACGGCTTAGTGGCCACTGTTGCCGGCCCGACGGCCCCGTGACCCCTGCCTGCCAGCAGTCAGATTAGGGGCCTGTTCAGGGTTTAGGGTAGCCCTTAAAGGGGTCTATAGGATGTAGGGTTTAGGGGTTTGAGGGTTTAGGTATTTAGGGATTTAGGGGTTTTGGGTTGGGAATTGGGGTTTAGGGGTTTAGGGGTTGAGGGGTTCAGGGTTTAGGGGTTCAGGGTTTAGGATTTAGAGGTTTAGGGTTTGGGGACAAACTGTGAAATCTGTTCAATACGGGTCATGTCGGCTGCGGGTATGTTTGGAGCTTCCCTCTCTGCACAAGTCCCGCCCAGCCTCATGTCTTTGTAGAGGCTTGATTTGCTTGCACGATCGGCAAGCTAACAACAACATGATGAACAGACAGTAGCAGATCTGCTAGACTGCTAGACAATCCTCAGCTGTTTCTGCACATAACTACTGTCGCCACCGTGGTCCTCACTACCCCAGGTCACGACCGATCCGTCGCCAAGAATGGCCGCAAAGGCGCCGTCAGAGGCCTGGATCTGCTGCACGTTCGTCAGTTGATCCTGCACATATCTACTGTCACCACCACGCCAAGCATCACCCCAGGTCACGATTGATCCATCGTCAAGCAAGGCAGCGAAAGCGTACGAAGTGGCCTGGATCTGCTGCACGTTCTTCAGCTGCTCCTGCACAGCAGCACTGTCACCACCTTGCTCATCATCACCCCACGTCACGACAGACCCATCAGCAAGAATGGCGGCAAAGGCACCGTCAGAGCCCCGGATCCTCTGCGTATTCTTTAGCTGATCCTGCACAGCACTACTGTCACCACCATTCCAAGCCTCACCCCAGGTGACGACAGAGCCATCTCCGAGAATGGCAGCAAAAGCGCCGCGAGAAGCTTGGATCTGCTGCACATTCTTCAGCTGGTCCTGCACGGCACTACTGTCACCACCATGCCAATCATCACCCCAGGTCAAAACGGATCCGTCGCCAAGAATGGCGGCAAAGGCGGCAAAAGATCCCTGGATTTGCTGTACATTCTTCATGCGATCCCGGACAGCACTGCTGTCACCGGCAAAGCCAGCACTACCCCAAGTCACCACAGATCCATCTGCAAGGATGGCTGCAAAAGCGCCGCCTGAAGCGCAGATGTGTTGCACATTTTCAAGCTGGTCTTGCACCATGCTGCTGTCAGCACCATAGCCAGCATCACCCCAGGTCACGACAGACCCGTCGCCAAGAATGGCAGCAAAGGCGCCCTCGGAGGATTGGATCTGCTGCACATTCGTCAGCTGATCCTGAACATAGCTACTGTCTCCACCATACTCAGGTTCACCCCACGACACGACAGAGCCATCGCCCAGGATTGCAGCAAAAGCGTAGTCGGCACCTCGTATCTGCTGCACGTTCCGGAGCTGATCCTGCACAGCACTACTGTCACCGCCGTGCTCATAACCACCCCAGGTTACAACAGACCCATCGCCAAGCACGGCGGCAAAAGCGCTGGCAGTGCTCCATGCCTGAAGTTGCCCTATGCGGAGCGACAGCGAATCACCATCCTGCAAATTGGCGTCCTTGATTGGCGCACCTGCATCCAGAACACTTCCGAACGGGTCCACCAGCCTCCCTCTGCCGACTCCGAGAAGGGTCGATGCCCGATGCATCAAAGCTTCAACTTTTTCATCCGAGCCAGCTCTGACTTTGGCGGTCTTGCCACTGAGCAGTCCAACTTCCACAGTAATCGACATTCTGCTCACTGGAAACGGAAACTTGGAAAATCAAGTTCTCTTCATGTTGCTTGTATAATGGTAATACTAGTAATAGTAGAAATATTGCTAATAATCGCAATAATAGTAATAATGGCAATAATAGTGTATGATATCGGACACCTCCTTCAGATAATGCTGCCAGATGTCCCCTTGTCAGCATGGTTACGATGATCAGCGACCTGTTTGCTAAATTAGGGGGTGCCTTATTCTGGGGTCCTTATAATAAGGATCCTACTATTTAGGGTACTATATTAGGGTCCCCTATTTTCGGAAACCCCCACTACAAGACGATCTGTTGCCGTTGGCGGCCACTTCTTGTACAGCTCTCGTTGCTGTCTTGCTGAAATCGCTAAGCCCTTAACCGTAAACCCTAAAATTGATTCCTGGCATGGATCTTACTATGGCATACCTGATTTGGCACATTTACTGACCCATACCAGAAGCATAAGCAGTGGCGGACTCACCGTGAATAGTGAAGGCTTTCGCACAATACTATGTTTGTTTTAGGTAGCTGGGTTAAGGCCTGGTATTTGCAGATCGGGCCTGCTTGAACAGCCTGACAATGCAGGCGGCAGCAGGGAGTCAAGGTTAAAGCTTTCAGATAGGGGTCGTAAGGATTACAACAGGGGGTCGGGATGCATAAGATGATACTGTGCTTTAGAAGCTGCCCCCACCCTGTAATAGTGACTATAAGGATCATATTAGGGTCCTATTATATTCCGATTATACCACTATTACATGGTGGGGGCTCCCTGCTAAACTATGCTGTAGTCGGGACTAGACGTGACAAACCTCTACAGAAGGCCTTTGGTTGGGTGGGGTCGGGGGAAGAGTGCTCAGGAACTTTAGTTGCTGGATCCCTGCTGTACTTCTTACGAACTCAATGGGTTTTATCATCCATCCCAAGGACATGGGTAGTTGTCAAAATTATGGCCCCTTTTTGGGTACCCTTTAATAAGGACCCAAAAAGGGACCATAATTTTGACAACCACCCACATGAACTCGATGAAACCGACTTGGAAAATCCCACCTCGAGATTGCGACATCGGGATTCATGTACAGCCTCACAAGATTCCTTTAAGGGATCCTTTAGGGCTAAGGTTTAGGGCTCCTTTAAGGGTTCAGGGCTTTTCGTCTAGGGCTCTCACAAGGGCAGCAGAAAAAGGATTGTGATATCCTCAAAAAACCGGACCCTGACCCCCAAAACCCCTCAGGCCCTGAAGTCCTAAACCCCTCAGGCCCTAACCCCGAAATCCTGAACCCTGAAGCCCTAAACCTAAGGGTCCCTTCAAAGCAACCCTTACAGATCCCTTGAACGGAACCCTTATAGATCCCTTTAAAGGAACCTTGAACCCTTAAGATATGCAGTCCTTGTCACACCCTCGAAAGGCCAAGCAAACTGAGGCCTGCACTCCGGTCTCCTCCGCGTCCCCTACGACGTGTCCCCAAGTCGTGTCTCTGCGGGTAGCTGGTCACTAAATTACGACAAACAGATCTAGATGCATACATATATATATATATATTATACCATATGTGAGGTGTATATAAGCATATAAGATGCACGTACAGTAGTTAAGATTATAAGGCTCGTGAGTGTAAGCAGTAACAATGCCGTCTACTTGCCAGATCTGCAAGATGTCTTTCGCGATCAACCCTAAACCCTAAATCCACAACTGCGACGCTCAGGTAGTCGTAACGAGTCTCCTGCATGTGCGACCATCGAAAAGCTACTTCCATCTGACCTGGAGCAGAAATCCTGGGATTGCGAAGCACCCTTAAAGGAACCCTGTAGATCCCTTAAAGGAGCCCTTAAGAGAACCCTAAACCCTAAACGGCCTAGACCCCGAACCTAAAGGAACCTACCCTTCTAGGTCGCAGCAAACCCAGAGACTCCAATATCCCGTTTTTCAAGGAATATACCTTAAATCATATTTGGGATCCTGCCGAGATTTAGGGTATATTCCTCAAACCCCCGGGAGGATCCAAAAAGTACAACCCTTGGTAGTATAAGGCCCCAAAGTAGGGGATCTACTTTCTAGATCCTCCCGGGGGTCTGGGTAAGGCCCCAGCCTCTGGGTCCAGGCTAAGATAAGCCGGGTTTAGGGTTCAAGGTTTTGGGGTTTAGGGTTCGGGGTAAACCCTAAGCCCTAAACCCTAAACCGTCTCGGGTATATTCCTCAATTAAGGGATATTCGAGTTGGGAAGTCACAGGCGGCAGGCACCCTCATACCCTAAACCCAGGACAATAGGGCACCTTCATAGAACCCATGGACCCCTTGAGCCCTCAAAGGAACCCTATAGATATCCCTTGAAGGCACCCTTAAAGGAACCCTATAGATCCCTTAAAGGAGCCCTTAAGAGAACCCTAAACCCTAAACGCCCTAAACCCCCAACCTAAAGGAACCCATTTATGGTACCCTTCTAGGTACCCCACCCAGAGACTCCTATATACCTGAATTAGGGAATATACCCTTACATTATAGTCGGCTATATCCCTCAATTAAGGAATATACCCGGAAAATCTAGTAGCCTATCTCCGATATCCAAATAAGGGATATACCCTTAAATGATAGTAGGCATATTCCTTAACTAAGGGATACTGGAGTCTCTGGCATCAGGACCTTTCAGCATAGTAGCTGGGATAGGGTAACTTTGTATCGAAAGACGTACAACTTAGAGCCCCGAATAAGCTACTTACAACCGTACTGAGTAAGTCCCATGATCCTTCGATTAGGGCTCA